CGCCAGGCCAGGATTCGAACTGCGGTCAGCCATGTGGGAGTCCAGCGCCTTAATCACAAAGCCACGTGCTGGCCCCAGTAGTCTAATTTTTAATAAAGAGCACATAAACACAAAGAAAAAGTTGGAGGGAGGTGAACCGGCAGAGATGCCACTCTGCGCATCCTGGTGCTGCCCCTCTGTGGGACCCTGCTGGCCTGTCCACCCGCTCTACCTCTAACGCGCAGCCCGGCGTGTGGCTGCTCATGGCTGTCCGTGCAGTCATCAGCTGACTACTGTTCGGGGAAGTCGTACCGTCCACCCTCATCCTGGCATAAGTGTGCGTGGTGTTTTCTTGTCGCTACTAAAAACAAGGACTAGTAAGCAGGAGACACTGACAGACAACAGGCAGCATGCCCGGAGACCACTGGCGGGGAGACACCGGGCCACCCTCAGCACCTGCAGGGGGCCGGGTCCAGGTCTGCAGACTCTCGGCCTTCACGAAGTGACGCGTGTTTCTGCGTGACTCGCACATGCACCTGCCGCATTTAAGCTGCCTCCAGAATACTTGGAAAGTGTCCGTGTAGACGCCGCACAGTGCCACGGTGCACGGCCCAGTTCTGGGTTCTTGCCGCTCGTCTTCCTAGCATTTCCGGTGTGCAGTGGCTGACTGCTCTGAGGGGCCTGTGTATACAGAGCCATGGCATCTGAGGATGAGAGACCATGTCAAGGTTGTTCTGAGGCTCCTGATAGGTGCCAGGCACCCTGGAGAGGGCGAGTGCCCTCAGGCACACAGAGAGGCCCTGCTCACGCCCTGCACCAGCCAGCATCGACGGCCGGTCGGAGAGAGAAGAAGGGCTGGACACTGTGGCCAGGCAGACCGGGGGCAGGGGGCTGGTTCCAGCCGAAGAGGCCTGAGCAAGCCGGGGCGTGTGCCAGGACCCAAGTGCACTGAGGTGGGCGGCCGGCGTTGGGACCCCTAGGCTGCTGCACTGTCCATTTGCCCTCCCTGCCTCTTGGTCTCTTTCATTCATGAAATAAACTAAAGAAGAGGAGGAGGAGGAAGAAGAAGAAAATAGGCGAGAATGATTACATGACAGAGGTACTAACAGAAGAATGTGCACAGCAAAGGGTTAAGAGAGACCCCCGCCCTCAGGAAAATGGACGAGGCCTTGCAATGCTTTCTCCTGAAGAGGACACTCTCTGTGAAGGTCCTCGCGGGCCGAATCTGAGTGCGCCGTCACGAGAACCTCATTCGGTCCTCTCGTGGCCGTCTCTGAGAACCAGCAGGTAAGGGTGAGCGTCACCGCACCCTGACCATGGCAAGGTAAGTAAGCTGGCTGCTCGTTTCCCTCACACGTGTCTGAGTAAGTAAAGCTCCTTCCACCTGCAATGGGACGCGTCCCAGGCTCGGATCGTCCTCAGACAGCGTCAGTGGGCTGCAAACCCTCTGCGTTTCGATCGATTCTGAATTTGTTCGTGGCCAGAAGACACGTGCACCCACAGAGACAGAGACAGAGACAGGGACAGACAGCATCTCCCATGGGGCATGCTCGGGTCACTGCCTCCTCTCCGTTTCTCCACACTGTGGGACTTGGGTGCACACACGTGCCTGGTGTATTTTTCAAGCCACTGGAGCCAGGATTCAAACCGCAGTGGGCCATGTGGGATCTGGCTCCCTTAACCGCCAAGCCACAGGGACGGCCCAATTCTAAACTTTCTAATTTGCCATAAGCTCTCTTTTTATCACTGCAACTTTGCCATTCACTATCACTTTGTAATAAATATTCCAAAAAGGTAAATCTTATGTTCTTCTTCTAAAAACTTCCCACCTAATCTTATATTTTTACTCTCCTGATTTAACTCTAGAATCCTTCCATCATGTTTTCCCGAGTACCTTTCGGCTTCACGTTAGTATTTACTTTTATTTTGAGAAGCTCACAAGTGGTGAGACTTGGTACGTGTCGGTACTTGCTAAGCATCTGCACGCATTACTGATTTAATGTGGCCAATGGCTCTAAGTGAAGCGCTGCTATTACTCCTACTTATAGCTGAGAAGGTGAAGACGTCGGCAGGTTGAGACTCTGTTTTCACATCGTGGGGCTGGAAAGGGGCCGGGGGAGCCCCTGCATGTCCACGCCGAAGGCCCGCCCGCAGCAGCACCTTCCCTGGGAACGCACGCCACTTCCTCTGTTTTCTCGGCTGAGCAGATTTTATGTCCGCTGTAGGAAAACCAGCTCGGAAGTCACACAGCCGTTTTTCCTGAGGTCTTTCCATAATAAATTTATCTGAATTTCCTTAATGAAAGACTCCAAACTTATAAAACTTTGAAATGTGAAACCAACAGTAAAATCGCATTCTCAACATTAAAGTTAATGCCAACTGTCTTACCCAGAGACCTCAGAGAATTAACTTCAAATTCTGTTGAAAGGGGTCATTTAGAAGTAGCCTCAAAATAACATCAAACCCTTAAAGCAAAAGATAATTAATTCAAGTTTAAAATACTAAAAAGTGGGACTTTTTTTTTTTTTGAGAGAGATTTTCACTATAGGGCGCGTGCGCTCGCCAGACAGACAGAGAGAGACATAGAGACAGAAAGCGAGAAATCACCCCCCAGGGGGGATGGTCACGCTGCAATCCCTTCTCCTCCATTCTCCTCTCGGGATCTTGGGCACGCACGCACATGCGCCCGGCGTGAGTTTTAAGCCACCGGGTCCGGGACACGAACCGCGGTCGACTACGTGGGAGTCCAGCGACATAGCCATTACGCTAACTGCTGGTTCCCTAAAGTGGGACTTTTAAATACATTTTCGAAAATGGCGGACTAGACACCTTATTCCGATTTATACGCTATCTTTTCCTATCCACTATAGCAAAGATGCACAAAACACCAATTCCTGGGTGGTCCAAACCACAGCTCCGAGTCATAGTTTCTGACCTGCACCACGGAAAGGCTCACCGTATTCACCCGCCCTCCCTTCCTTCCTTTCTCCCCTCCTGGCTTCCTTTAGGCCAGAAACCTGACAGTCCCAGCAGGAACGGCGCACACACTGACTTCCGACCCGCATGGTCACACAGGGAGTCCAGCGGAGGCCCCACAGGCGGCCAGGTCACCCCCAGCCCTGGAACCCCGCCGGCTCGCTGGCCTTGGGACGGCACTGCGCATACCGCCTGCCCTCTGCCCCAGGCTCCCATCCGAGACTGCTCTGACACGCGCTGCTTCTCAGGGCAAAGCACGCCCAGATGAGGTGACACTGGGACACCACGGAGGTGAGCCCTGTGCATAGCTGCCACACAGCAGGGACTCGACCCGCCTACTGCGGGCTCCCGGGTCTCACAACCTGAATCCTGCTGGTTACGGGACTCTTGACCACACCCTGGACACTGAGGGCTCGAGGCAGTGCCTCCCCCAAAGTGTGACAGGCCTGCCTTCACCCCACGTGACTTCCGGGACAAAGGTGGCAGCCTCCAGGTGGAGGCCGGCCAGACCCGCCGTTCACGCCAGGCTGTGACGTGCCGAGGGCAGAGGAGTGGCACATGCAGCCCAGATGGGAAAGGCGAGCGGGGAGGGCGGGCTCCCAGCCACAGTCCCCGGCACAGGCGTGGACGGACGCAGCTTGCTGCTTCTCCAACAGACTGCCCGGGCAGGTCAGGAAGATTCGAGAGTGAGCGAAGGCCAGCAGTGGGGCATGAGGCCAAGTCTGCGGGTTACTCCTAGCGGGGACGCCACACCCCACACCCGGGAGGATGCTGTCCCCGTGGCCTTCGCTGGGCTCTAAAAACCACGAGGCCAGGGAAGACCAAGGTTTTCTAGTCGCCAGCGCTTGACCGTCTGCAGTTGAGCAGGGAGCACGGGAAAAGCTGTACACCCGCCTTTAACGCTCACACTGCTCAGGCCTCCCGGCCTCCCAGCCTCCCTGTCAGGTGGGGCGGTGACCCAGATGGTGTCTTCTTTTTATTGGAGAAGTTTTCGCTATAGGGCGCATGCTCGCCAGACAGACAGAGAGACAGAGACAGAAATCAAGGAATCACCCCCCAGAGGGGATGGCCACGCCGCAATCCCCTCTCCTCCATTCTCCTCTCGGGATCTTGGGCACGCACGCACATGCGCCCGGCGTGAGTTTTAAGCCACCAGGTCCAGGACACGAACCGCGGTCGACTACATGGGAGTCCAGTGACATAGCCATTACGCTAACTGCTGGTCCCTACCCAGATGGTTTCTAAGTGCTGTCGGTTCTATATAAAAGATTGCGTCTGGGAAAAATCGTGGATGACTGAGTGTTCAGTAACCCATCCGGCCCCAGCCACTTCAGCCCTGCGTCTCTGACACGAACGTGACAGCTCAGCTAACAAGTGATCCTCAGTCTTAAGCTTGAAGCAGAAATAGCTCAGTATTTTATTATTTCTGATAATGTCACCATGTCGCCTATGGAAATACTAACAATTAGGTACAACACAAATCTGCGGGGACTTGAAAACGTGGAAACAACTTCTAGAGTTTATTTTGGTGCAAAAAAAAACATAAAATCCATGCAGGGTTCTTCAAAATACATAATTCTACGGACTTTCTGAAGACCCCTCATCTCAGGTAACTCTAACGTATCTCTGACCACAAAGAAGAGTCGTTTGAACCATCTCCCGTGTCCCCACACTGCTGGGCATGAGAAGAGATGTCACGGCAGCAGCCTGCTCCACACTCTGTGCGGCCTCCAGATGCTCGGGGCTGAGAGTCGGGTTCTAGCCCTAACCCCGCGGGGAACTACGTGGCTCCGGGCAAGCTGCCTGCCTGTAAAACAGAACCTCCTCATCTCTGTACCTGCCGGTGCGTGCCGGTGCACAGAAGTGTGAGAACTTGGGCTCCAGGCAGAGAAGTGCGGTGGGCAACACTGCGCGTGTCAGAGGCAGGGCTGATGCAACCGCATGACACCGTCGAGGTCAGATCAAGGCCAGTGGGAGGAAGAGGCACTAGACCGGGAGCCACCTATGGGCCACCAGGAAGCGAGAACTGTCAACCACGAGACACTGTTGCACCAGCTTGGTCCCTCCCACGCACGGTCAGGGACCAGACACGAGGGCACAGCACACTCAGACCTGGGGCTGTGCACACACGCCGGCCACACTCCTTCTGTCCACGCAGGCAGAAGACACTGGGCCCCACGGTGCCACACATGGACAGGAACACAGCCTCCAACAGCCACACAGCTGGTTAGGGAAACACACGACGGTGTTCCCCGTGGACCCGAGCAACCACAGGCGCGTCACCCCTCCTGCCGAGGCCGCTGCTCAGGGCACAGCGTGGGCGCCTTGGAGTGGGCCCCAACGGGCCCAGCCAGGGTCTGGGGAGACCCCAGGGCTGCTGTGGCCCAGGCCGACAGTCAGGGCAGCCCAGCCTGGTCACGCCGTCCTCCTGCCTGTCCTTCCCCCACGGCCCTACGTGACAGAACACGGACTCCCAGGGTCCTACGTGACAGAACAAGGACCCCCAGGGTCCTATGTGACAGAACACGGACCCCCAGGGCCCTACATGACAGAACACGGACCCCTAGGGTCCTATGTGACAGAACACGGACACCCATGAACCTAAAGCAGCTATCTCCCTGCATCCAACTTGGGGGCTGACCCCCACACAACAGCGGTGACCTGCCGACGTTGTCTCCGTGGCCCACACCACACGGAGCCTGGGAAGAGGCGAGCCACAGGAGGAGACGGAGCTCTGGGCAGGACCCCCGTGCACAGGGGCCTCGCCATGGTGAGGACAGAGGCAGGGCCCACACACAGGCCGGTGGCCCCCGAGTCTGCTCAGCATGGCCCACCGTTTCCTGTCTATCGCCCGCGGTCTCATCTGCACTATTTCTTTCTTCGTTTTTTTTTTTGTTTTTTTGTTTGTTTGTTTGTTTTTTTCTGGTCATAGGGCAGATGTGCTTACCAGGGAGAAAGAGAGACAGTGACAGAGAGAGGGAAAGTAAGTAGCCACCTGCCCGGGGGGATGGCCACATCACAATCCCTTCTCCCCTCGGGGTTTTAGGCACACACACGCACACGCCTGGAGTGATTTTCAAGCCACCAGATCCGGGACTCAAACCACAGTCGGCCATGTGGGAGTCCAGCGCCTTAATCACCATGCCACCTGCTGGCCCCTGCATTCTTTCCTACTTCAAGGCAGGCTGACTGGGCGGTGGGCGGCAACAGCAGGAGCACTGCCGTGGGCAAGGGTGGTGACCAAAGGTGGGAAGAGGGGGGCCGGCACCCCGGCCGCGGGCCCTGTTTTCGGGGCACTGAGGCTCCACTGCTGCCTGCTGGCCCCTTCACACCAGGCCTGGGAGCTGCGGCAGTCAGGGAGCAGCTGCGGCAGGACAACCACGCAGCCGGCCAATGTGAGCAGCAGATCTGGACACCCGGGGCTCTCCCCGACTCCGTGCTGGGCTGTCTGGCTCCTATCCGGAGCACTGCCCTGGAGCTTGCCCCCACCTCGCGACCCCAGCCTCTCCTTCCCTCCACCCTCGCTCTGACGACCATGATCCACGCAGCGGCAGAAGGGCCGTACTCCAGGGGCCACGCCGGCACATGGAAGCAACGTGGCACCAGGTCACCCTCACCCTCAAGAGCATGGTGTTCTGCAGCCACTTTCTACTGGTCATAGCAAAACAAACGCATCGCACCCTTGAAAGCAGAGGGAGGGGGACTGCAGATAGGCAATGCCGGCCAGGCCGGTCGACTTCCCCAGCTCTCAGGCTCAGCCGTCACGGCGCGCTCCCAGTGCTGAATCTGGCACTTACCTGGCATGACTGTGGGCTGAACAGTGGCGGTGTCAGCGCTCAGGCAGAGGCGGCCGCCCTTGGCCAGCCTGTCGCAGAGCAGGGCGATGTGCTTCTTCAGCCGGCTGGTGTCTCGGGGCACATCCAGCTGGCTGCCGAGGTTCAGCACCTGCTCCTTGGAGCTCCTGGACAGGCAGGTCTTCAGGAGGTGGGAGATGGCCGCATCCGCGGTCTCCACCCAGCCCTGGGGACAGAAGCCAGGCTTGGGTTAGGTGGGGGTGAGTACAAAGCGGGCCCCCGTGCCACTAGCCAGGACCCCGGGAGGGGAGCCCACGTCTGGTGCCAGGATACGGGGAGCGGGCACCTGCGGCCTCAGCCTGGTATGGGACCTGCCCTGACAGAGGGCTGACCTCAGCAGGGCCACTCCTCTCGGCCACCTCTAGCTAGAGGGCACTAAGGGCCTCCCTGTGAGGGTGGGGTGTGCGGGGCTGACCACCCCACCTGGGCAGCCTGGACAGCAGAGGACCTCGGGGTAGGGCGGGCATGGGCAGGCACCAGGACCAGTCTGCTCTGCCTTGTCTTTCTGCAGGAGGGCAAGCCAGCACAGGGAGGGCCTGGGAACAGGGCTGGGGGCGCCCGGAACAGAGAAGACGTCCCAGCCAGGGTCGCAAGCCTGGGGCTGCAGGCAGGAGCTGAAGGAGCTTACTCAGAGGAATTCAGGGACACGTCAAGGCTCCCAGTCCTCCGTCAGTGTCTAGGTGACACAACAGGACGCAAAGCAGGAAGCAGGCATCACCCACTGCTGGGAGCGGTGTGGCAGCTGCAGCAGGGGGCCTGCGGGGGGCGGGGTCCTCTGCGGAGCGGGTGATCTCCTGCACACCGTGGTGCTGCGGGTCTGGGAACACCAGTGCTGGGCAGGACCCAGACTTTGCCCTGGGCAACCAGCTCAGCAGGACCGGCCCAGGGAGGCGCCTCTGCGGGTGGGCTCAGGCCACCTGGCAAGGGTGAGGGGTAGGGAGCAGAGGGCGGGCCCCTGAGCTCCTTAGATAGCCCCGAGGGGCAGGACAACTGGGTGTCTTCGCAGAGACTCAGAGGCCCTACAGCACCACAGAGAAATGTGAGCCAAACCTAGGCGAGGCTGTCAGGGCCTGTGGTGTCCCCAGAGGCTGGCAAGGCCTGGAGAGCCCCGACATCCAAGGTGAGGTTGAAAAGACACACCGAAATGCACTCACCATCAGAGCACGGCCGACTAGCCAGCTCTGCCCTGGGCCACGGTGGCCACAAGCCGTGGCACCACCCTCCAGGCCCATCACACACAAGCCCACGGCCACGCCCTCGCTGCAGCTCCGGAACCCTGATCCAGGCACTCGTCTGACACACAGGCCCTTCCTGCCTCCTCCCGGCCCTGCTGTGCGCTCCTCTGCTCACCTGCGCCTGCCTGGCCCCGCGGGCCCCTGCACACTGGGCTCTCTCGGCCCACGCCCTCCTCCGTGCTTCCCTCCACTCCGCCCAGCTCAGGCGTGCCCTCCAGAGGGTGTGCTGGGCCCCCATTGCGGCCCTCAGATGTCATGCCTGCAGTCCCGCTGCAGCCCTCCTCGCCGCCCCGCTGCCGTCTGCAGGTGCCCTGTGCATGGTGCCCAGAAGGCAGTCAGAGAGCTGGGACCCAGAGCCAGGACCGCAGCCCAGCCCCTTCAGTACCACGAGGGAACGCAGAGCTGGAAGGCCCCCACGCACCGTGGTTCGAGTCCCGGCCTAGCTGGCCCGAAAGTCTGCTGGGTGTGAGCGTGCACTGCCAGCTCTGGAGGGCCAAAGGGAGGGTCCTCCAGAGCCCGTGACCGAGCCCGTCGAGGGGCTCTCTCACGTATGTGCTGTCATGAAGTAAATGAATGCAAAGCAAGACCTTAGGCTGAGAGGACCTTGAGTTCTTTCAGTCTCGCGACATTTCCCAGGGTCTCTCATCAACGGCAATTATCTGCCGAGGCTAACCCGGCCATCTTCGAGACCTGTGATTACTACCTCTGAGGCACCCAGACCCCCCACGGCCCTCATGCCACCCTCCTGAGCCACAGGAAGTCAGACCCGGCCCTGCATGACAGCCCTTCTGCCTGTGGAGACGGCAGTGCCACACCCGCTCCTCCAGAGCAAGCTCCTGCCCCCCAGTTCCTCCTTATCTAAACGTGGCTTAGCTGTGCATGGCTCCTGCACCCCCAGGAGGCCCAACCACTGCTCCCTCCTAGAACCACGTGGGGGCTGACGTGGTGGCAGGACCCTGTCACACAGCAGCTGGGAGCTGAGGCAGGAGGATCGGGCACGGCGAGACCCTGTCTCGAAAAACACCTCAGAGGGAACAGCGGGCGGGGAGCAGAGGAAGCAGAGAAGGGCGGGGAGGGCATCACGTGGACACCTCGGTCCACCTCTTCACGCCCTGGGTCAGCGCGGGCACTAACGCGCTCACTGGGCTTGGGGGACAGTTTCCTTTGTCTAGTCTCGTGATGGCCATGGGGCCTCCCAAGCTCGCAGGACGTAGGCTCGGCCCACTGTTACCTCCACTCCTGTCTTCAACATGAACCCCGCCTCGGGAGCCTGCGAACACCACCGCTGATGGCCCAGGGTGCCTGCACCTGCCAGGTCCCTTCAACCACTGGACCCAGGGGCATGGCTGGCGGCCTGACTTCTCGGGGGCCGAGCTGCTGCTGCAGGCTCTCCCCGGCAGATTCCGGTCCTCGCGCCCTGTCCACCTTCCCACACAGAGCTTCTCCCAGCACGCCAGCCCGGCCTCTGCGTCCCAGCGC